ACTAGAGAAGAGAGATCTCAAGGGCACTTGTTCTCCACAGCAGGTCCCAGCCAACAACAGAGGGTATGGAGCTGATGATGGAGGTTGGCCAGGTCTTTCAGCTCCTACAAAAGGCCCCACTGGGAACAGATGTCTGGTTAGGGGTCAGACTGGGGATGGGGGCATCTAAAAGTTTTACTGGAAGGGAGAAAGGAAAAGACAAGATGCAGCTCCTAGAGAAGATCTGGCATTTCCACAGAGACGGAGGCTCAGGAATGCTCTTCCTATGGCCCCAGACCCTGGGGTCAGAGCAGACTATCTTACAAAAAGGAAGGGAGAGTTCTAGGATCCTTTATCTAATGTGTCTCCAGAATTAGGATTTCGGTTGGTTGATTGGTTGGTTGGTTGATTGGTTCTACCATATATTAATAGAAATATGTGAAATGATGATGTGAATAGCAAGTAACATCTCAGAGCCTTAGGAGAAGTCACAAAAATCTGTTCAAACAAAATGAACAAGGGAACATTCACACAGGTAGCACTGGCAAGGGGCAGAGGCACCAGTCACCAGCAAATCCCCCATCCTACTCTGCCTCAGCCCAAGCTGAGGAAGCAGCCAGGATCCCTCTCTGACTTTTTATCCTACCCCCAAAAGGGTTGACCTGATGCCCTAGAGATTGACTTAGCTCAGCCCCTTTTGTTGTTTCAGGAAGCAGCTGTGGGGAAAACAGTCCCATTTCAATGAACAAAGTCCTTGTGATAGCTGCAGACCCTTGTCTTCCTAAACGGCAAACCAGCTGCACTTGTCCCTACACCCAGATGTGCAGATGAAAATTTCTCATGTCTTATTGTCTAAGGTTTGAATATTTTAACCTCCAAAGTGTCAGATAGACTCTAAGAGCTCCAAAGTTTAACTAAAGTAGTTCAGTTGCTAAAGGAGAGACTTTTACTTTTACCCACTTACGGTAATGCTTGCAATATCAGAATATAATTAGGTTAAATAAATCAAATAAGGAATCCAGAAAAAAATTGTTCTTGAGTTAAGCCAAGTACACATTGGCAATTTTGAGAAAGAACACACATTAACAAAAAGAACACACAAGCTCAAATGCAAGTTTATCTGGCGAGTGTTTTTAAAGGATTTAAAAAGCATGCTCCATTGGCATAATACCTTTTTCTCATTTACATAACAGATGCATTTCTGTCTGTTTGTGTACAGCAAAGGGTTAGAACCTGAAAAAACGTATTTATGATTTCAGAAATGTGCTATTTTAGAAATGTACTCCACAGAATTTACTTCACTGCTCCTACCACTAATTCTTCAAATAAGCAAAGTTATCCCTTGAAAATGTTTTTAAACACTAGCACTTTAAGTTGAAACACTGGTAGAAATGTAGCAATGTCAGGTACAGTGCCTCTACTTAGTCTTATTTAAAATAAGAACTGAATGCACAACAGAAAATTTATCATTTTCTTTATCATGGGAGGAGAGGGAAAGAAAGCAAGCAGAGGTTACACTATTTAAGGAAGAGCTGAACACAAAGACAATGAGTCTTTCATAGTCTCAACAACTCCACAGTGAGTAACTGTGGATTATCTCATTTATTATTTATATTGGATCAAAAAAATTGGTTCCCCTCTGTGTATATCAATTTAATTCAAACCTTATTATCTTCAAAATACAAAGATGAATACTACAAGATAAACTCTATCTGCAGTAGGTATTTTCTAAGTAGAAGACCAAACACCAAAGGGAATCCCTCTTTCCAATGTCTTTTGATAATGACAAGATTTTGCCAGAGTGGAACTTAAATAAGCATTCTCATGGCCAAGTAAGAAACTACAGTTGTTGTGGGTATTACCCTACAATTACCCTATGTATTACATATTAAATTAAACTCAGGATTAAATATGCTTGTATAATTATGCTGTTAATGATGATAGCAGTGATGATACAGGCAGTAAAAGCCTTTCTTTAGCCCAAGAAAAGTAAGGGAGAAAAACATAGAAAGCAGACACAGTGCTGGGCATTTTTTGACTAGGAAAGAGAAAAGTATTCCCTTATTTCCCCTATGTGGAAATAATATGATACATTTATTAGATATACTAGACAAGAACAGACCTAAGAACTCCAACTCTACTGAAGCGTTACAAATTAATCATCACTTCACCACAGTGTAACATTTAAGGGCAACCTGCCCAAGGATGCATGCTATATATAAAACACAGCAAGATTGCTGCTGCCCTGCCAAATACTTCCAGTCCCTACCCAGTTCCTACTGAAATATTGGTGGTCCCAATTAGTTTTACTGAAATAAACCTTTAAAGAAAAAGATAAAGATAGAGCATGTAAAAAGACAAGTCAAAACGCTTCAGGAACCACGTATCCAACGCAGACTTTATCCTCAAATGAGTTATGCTTGCCTCGCACTAATAAACTTCTATTTCACTCAAATTAGAGCAAAAATCTTCTTTACATTAAGTATCTTCCCTGCACAATAATTCAAAGAAAAAAAATCAAAAATGATTAGTAAAGAAAAATGTAAGAACAAATCCTTTAAATTTGTTTTAAATATTTTTAAGGTTAAAAAGTGTTTAAAGTTTGTAATTCCTAGTACGAAAACATTATCTGAATGAATACCCTAATGGCAAACCTCTGTAAAATGCTTCAGCTGCATTTAGGGGAGAGGAATAGGGATTATCTTCAAAGCACCCCAGCTCTCTTGATGAGAAGGTCAGAGGTACACTGCTTTTATTATTGTGACATCCATAAGGTGATCTAGATTTCTCTTCCTTCAGCAAAGGCTTTATTTATCAGAAGGGCATTACACTTGACCTCCAAATTTGGCTGACAATTTGCTAAGACTCAAAACCTTTGGGTTGCTCTGTATTTTGACATATTTGCTGGGTTCTGGGGCATATCCTGGAAGGCCACCATAACTTCTGGATCCTGCATGGCTGCAAGAACCTCTGGATCACTAAGAATTTCATTGAGTCCAGGCATTCTGGCCATTCCAGGCATTCCCCTAGAAAAGCCACCTGGAAAAGAGCCATACTGAGCTCCTGACTGTCATCTGGCTTCTTCCTCCCTCTGGGCTCGCTCATGCTCTTCTCAAGCCTTCTTAACTCTTTCTTTTCTTTCTTTGATCTCTCGCTTTTCACATTTTTGCTCATACTTTCTCTGATGTTCTGCAATTTTCTGTGCCCTAGGTTGAACTTCTTTCAGCATTGCACTCACATCTTCATCATAATCCAATTTACAGGCAAGGGCAAGATCATGGGCTGCTTCCTCCCAGTGGCCTAAAAGTCTGTGTGCTTTCCCTTGCCACTTATAAGGCTGAGCTGAATCAGGATTTATTTCAATGGCTCTGTCTCAGTCTCGAATGGCAGCATTTGGCTTCCGTAATTTGATGAAGACACTGGCCCTCTTGGCATACAAAATGGCCAAGCGAGGATTCAACCTGATGGCATCTGTGAATAAGTCAATGGCTTTCTACAATTCACCATCATTTAGGGCTTCAATAGCAGCCACTTTCTCATCATTTGCCTGTCCCATCATCTCCTCTCTTATCTCTGCATTTTCATCTCCCATTTTTCGAGGGGCATCGGTGTCTGATTCAATCACACCTTCATTATCAATTTCTAGATCACTTTCCTCACTTGATGGTTCATCTGCCTTTAAGTCTTCCTCCACCTTCTTACTATCAGGTTTTTCTTCCTTGCCATTTTCTTCTGATTTAGCTTTCTGAGTAGCAGGTAGTATTTTAGCCCCCATACTCTCCACCCACTCCCTCAGGAAGCACATTTCCTCAGTGTGCAGAATGCTTGGATCCTACTTACACATCTTCACAAAGGCGTGAAGCTCGTTCACTTTGCAGGGGTCCATGGTCGGGAGGCCGTAGGCGAAGCTGAGGGTCTGCAGCCTGCTTCCAGGCCCAGGCACTAGCTCTGCGTGACCACGCAGAAGGGGGCAGCTGCCACGAGGCAGTTCCATGAACTTTTCAAAGACTGCTCTTAGATAAATCTGGGAGAGATTCAGTATTTAAAATCAACGGGGTTTCAGACATCCAAAACTAGACGTGTAATAAGAAGTTTTTATAGGGATTACGAGCTCAGAGGAGAGATCTGAGTTGCATACGTCTTCTGTAAAAGTCTGGTAACTGAATTCAAGGCATAGATGCCTGGGGGAAAGTACAGAGTGGGAAGAGAAAGTCCTAGGACCCAGCTCTGGGGAATACCAATGTTTTGAGAACTTAGCAGAGGTGAAGCGAGCATCAGAGACTTTAAAAAGGTAAGAGAAAGACCCAGAAGAGAACGTCTTTCACTGAGGCCAAACATTTTCAAAGAGAGGAAGTAATCAGCAGGTGCCCAATGATACTGAGAGGTTAAGAAAACTAGCTGAAAACTAGGCATTAGATTTGGTGACACATGTGAAACTTTTGTTCTTGGAGAGTGAGGAAATGAATGATAAAGGCACAAACCCTATAGGAGTGAAATAAGAATAGAAAATGGAAAGCACACGTTTGGGAAGTTCGGCTATGAAGGCAAAAAAAAAAAAAAGACAATAGTAGCTGGAGGGAAAAAGGTCTGGAGAAGGGTTATTTTAATATGAGGAGAACTTTGGAATGTTTAAATGCTGTTAGGAGCCAGCGGGAAGAGGGAGAAGAAAAAACTGGCCGAGCGGAAAGAAATCCAGATTACCGGTAGAAGGGTTCTCTTGCATTACTGACCCGCCAACTTAATAAATATCCAGAATTCTGCAGTGTGGGTAGCTTTGAGTTTTAGGTGAAGGGTTTTGTTGGTTTGGGTTTGCTTTGGTTGGTTTTCTACACTAAAGTCTTACCTCCTCTGCTCTTACCGGGTCCATTAATCCCTCCCACCGCGCGCCTCCCCCCGCCTCACTTGCCAGGCAAGTTTTTCCGGGTTGCCGAGAAGGGCCAAGCACAAGATGAAGATCTCGATGGGAACGCGCTTCCCAAAAAAAGGCATGCGCAGACAGGTCGCAGTCGCGTCCGAAGTGAGGTAAACTCTAAACCTTGCGCAGGCGCGTTAGGTCCTAGTCGCTATGCGTGTGCTTCTGGGTGAGAGAAGGCAGAAAGGGAGAGTGAGGGGCGGGCTTAGTCCGAGATTGAGGGTTGGGAAGCCGCTTCCGGGAGGGCACTGTCTCGTGCACAGGCAACCTCGCCTTGGCCTCCTAGCCAGAAAAGCCGGTCTCCCTAATCCCTGTGACCTGTGACCTCTGCAACGCGGGGAGGGCGAGAGGTGGGGAGAAGTCTAGTGTCAGATGGGATGGCGCCGGAATAGGGGGTCACAGCGGGGACGGAAGGCGCCCCCACCTGACTCCCCGGGAATATAAACAATTTGTATTTTACGATCAGGTGGTGGGACAGGCTTCATTGGGACAGCCCTAACCAAGTTGCTGAATGCCAGGGGCCACGAAGTGACGTTCGTCTCCCGACAGCCCGGGCCCGGCCGGATCACGTGGGTATGCCCATCCTCTAGACGGGGGTGGCAAGGCAGAGTTGGGCAGCGTAGGGCGGAGCAGGGGAACTGTGTGCTTTCTCCAACAGGATGAACTCTCTACTTCCGGGCTGCCGAGCTGCGATGCCGCCATCAACCTGGCCGGAGAGAACATCCTCAACCCTCTCCGAAGGTCAGCCTGGCCCCTAAAGCTGATACCCACTAGAGCATAGGTAGGAGAGTGTCCGACTGATGAGAACCTCCATGGGTAATGCAACTGCCAGATTCTGAACTAAACCCATCCCAGACTATTCATTCTGCTCTACTCCTTCACGCCCACCTGCTCCTCCACTCAGTCAGCCAGTTCGCTTGAGTCCTCACATAAAATTCAGGATGCCAAGGAAATGTATGCCCTTTCCCTCTACAGGAGACTCCGACTGTTTCTCTTAGGCCAAAATTCAGGGTTTTACTAGAAATGGGTATGAAACAGCTCCCAGGAAAAGACAGAGAGAGGGATATGTGCACCTAGGTATTTAGTGGCTTTTTATTTCCCATGTTTCTTCTACAGATGGAATGAAACTTTCCGGAAAGAGGTTCTCAGCAGCCGCCTGGAGACCACCGAATTGCTGGCTAAAGCCATCACCAAAGCCCCACAACCTCCCAAGGTGTGGGTCTTAGTCACAGGTGTAGGTATGCCCCCAAATCACCAACCCCTTATATTAGCCAGGGGGAGGGGGTAACTCAGACCTCTGTAGCTGTGCACACAGCAGAGCACTGGGTTTTCCAGGCAAAATGACTTCCTAGGCCCTTAATCCATGCATGTTTCTCCTTACTTTCACTAAGAAATTTAGACCCTGAATAAGAGTGGGGAGTGGCATCACTCTTAGCGCCAGGGAAAAGTCCACCTATTCCCAATCCCTTACTTCTCACACCACAGTTCTTTAGGAACAGAGTTCCTAGTTGCTGTTAAGTCACCTTTGGGACCAAGTAATTGCAAACAATTATAATGCACACACCAGCCACTATTTGTAGTGTTTTATGCTTATTATCATTTATTCCTTATAACAACCCTATGAGGTAGGTACTATGATTCCCATTTTAAAGATGTGAAAATTCTATACAGAGAGATTAATTAATTTGCATGAAGTCACAGTTAATAAATGAGGGAGCTGATTAAACTCAGGCAGCCTGGTACCCAAGTTCCTGTTCTTAACCACTACACTCTAGCAGCCTCTAAGTTTAGCCCTGCAACCAAAGAGTTCCTCCAGGGAAGGAACAGTTCAGGTCATGGAGAAGCTCAAGGGGAAAATATCCAAACAGCTCTGTCTCCAAATGGGGAGATCCCAAGGGCCAAAGAAGGTGAGGCCAAGGGGAGCCTCCACTGCAGAGAGCCAGGCAGGACCGAGGACATCCAGAGCAAATGAGTATGTTCCACCGGCAGCTTACTACCAGCCCAGTCTGACTGCAGAGTATGATGAAGACAGCCCAGGAGGGGACTTTGACTTTTTCTCCAACCTTGTAACCAAATGGGAAGCTGCAGCCAGGCTTCCTGGAGATTCTACACGCCAGGTGGTGGTACGCTCAGGTGAGAACCAGGGGCCTGGGTATGTATCAGACAGGGTTGGAATGTCTTCTCTAGGCTGGGGAAGTGATGGGATCAGAAGAGCTGAGATTACAATTACAGAGTGAAAGGATGCCACCACTTCTAGCCAACCTGTAGAGGAGAAGGTGTAAAGTATTAGAGAGCCATACTGCTCACCTGTTACAGAGCCGAGACAGCATGGGGAGAGTGAGGAAGGGGAAACAGAAACCAGGAGGAGCAGTGGGGCTGCTTCAAGGCTGAGAGACCCTCCTGTACCTTCCCTCTTGCCTGCTCTAGGGGTTGTGCTGGGCCGTGGGGGTGGTGCCATCGGCCACATGCTGCTGCCCTTTCGCCTGGGCCTCGGGGGCCCCATCGGCTCAGGCCAACAGTTCTTCCCCTGGATACACATCCGGGACCTGGCAGGAATCCTGACCCATGCTCTTGAAGCAAACCACGTGCATGGGGTCCTGAATGGAGTGGCTCCATCCTCCGCCACTAATGCTGAGTTTGCCCAGGCCTTGGGTGCTGCCCTGGGCCGCCCAGCCTTTATCCCTCTCCCCAGCACTGTGGTGCAAGCTGTCTTTGGGCGAGAGCGTGCCATCATGCTGCTGGAGGGCCAGAAGGTGACCCCACGGCGAACACTAGCCACTGGCTACCAGTATTCCTTCCCAGAGCTAGGGGCTGCCTTGAAGGAAGTCATAGCCTAAGTAGGTCACAGCAAGGGCCTGAGGCCTGTCCCTCACAGGCTTCCAGGTTAGACACTGTGAAAAGGCTCAGCTCCTCTAGAGAGCTGAAGCCAACTGGTTCCTAGATTCTTTCCCCAGTCCTCTTCCTTCCCATTGTTCTGTTGCTCCACTTTATTGTCTCAAGACTGTAATCTCATCAGGTTGGGACCTTAATCTTTTCAACTCATTGTAATATTTCTCAGTTTGGTTTCTCTGTATGTCCTGCTGCTGCCCCACTTCTCCTTTATGCTGTGCAGAGAATGCTCTGCAGTTTAGGCAATAAATTATCTCACTAACCTTGGCTCATCTCTTTGGCCTAGATTCTCTTGGGATTTATTTCAAGGAATGTCACCCTAGATGATTCTTTTCCCCATACCGGGTTTTGAAAGTTATAATGGGCAGTCTGTCTCCTCAGCCTCTCCCTTCTTGGTCCTTCAGCTACCAATAGAACTGGTCACAAGTTTGAGACATCAGGTTATGATAAAGGTAGAGACTAGAAGAGAGAATGGTGATCCATTTCCAGTGGGCCCTATAGTCACCCTGGATGCTGTCAGAGTGCCCTTAGGATGCCAGAAGAGGAAGAGGTGAGGCCCAGGTGTGGGATAGCCTTCAGTCTGTGTAACCAAATGGCAAGTGCATTACTAACCACACAGTGATCCCAGTTTATCAGGCTGCAGCAGAACAAAGCCAGCATCCCTGTCCATAAGTTTAGGCTTGCCTCTCATCTGACTGGAACCACTCAGTCAACCAGGGCCCTTAGCACAAAAGGGCAGAAGATACTTTTGGTCTGCTGCACATCCACCATCATTGAAAGTGAAAAGAAACCAATCAAGAACTATAAACAACCCTATCAGGAAAAAAAAAAAACCTCACAAGTTTTCATCTAGGACCCTTTTTACCTACCTAAAGCTATGATATCTGCCATCTTGACCAGACACAGCTCCCCCAGCCAACAGTTCAGGCCACATTAAGCACTCTCTTCTTCTCAGGGAACCCTGGGTTATCTCTGAATCACTGTCACCTCCTTTACTGCCTATCTCCAACACACCTGCCCCTGGCCTGGGTCAGTGTGGTGCAGTGGTGTAAATCACCAAAAAGGGAGGGGTAAGCACACGAGGACCCAAGGACCCTCCCCATCATCATTACACACTCCGTGCAATATTCAACTGCCTGTGCCATTCAGAGGGAGGCGGAAGTCAGGGCCTGGAAAAGATCTTGTCCAGAGACTCGCCACAGGGCCCACAGAGAACAGAACCCAAGGGCACCTGTCCTACTTTTTTATCTGGTCTTGGACTCCAGGAAGTTGACTGGCTCTGTATTGTTCCTGGGGGGATGATCAGCCTCAAAGGTAGAAGTAACAGAAAAGCATACTTTAGGCTGCATTAAAGGAAGGAGTACTGATTAATACTATCTACACAGGGAATGTGCTACCTTGGAGATAGTAAATTCCCTGGCACAGGAAGACTTCAAGCAGATCCAGGGCAATGACCTATAGGAATCAGGGTGGAGAGAGCATGCCAGTGACAGCAGAGTTGGTCTGGTAGTCAGTCAAGTGCCTTCCAACTCTGGTTCTTTTCATTTACCAGATAACTGGTTCATCTAGAACCAACTGGTGCAACTTCCGTTAAGTCCTCCCATCCCCATACACACACACACAAAGCAGAAGTATGCCTTGCTTTATGCAACATGTCTTCCATAGAAAAAACGTTAGGGTCAGATCACATTATTATTGTCATTGCAGAGCATGGCTTCATCGATTTGGTGAAAAATCGATGTGTTCATCTCAACACCAGCAAGTGCAGTGCATCTAACCAGGGACTTGCCAACACATATGTTAGTCTGTAAACAAACATGTGAATACAACAGGAGAGCTGCCATTTATAGGAACCCTGAGAGTATTTTGATAATGTAGTCGTCCCTAATTTACCTACTGTGTAAATGTGGATTTTGGAGGTTGCTCAAAAGGGATGCAGCCATTGTAGGGCATGTTATAGGAGAATGCAGTGTTAAAATCTAGGATGTGGACCCTGGAGACAGAGGAGCCACATCTCTCTGAAAGTGAGGTTTTGGTTAGGGAGCCTGTGCAGCCACAGGCAACACACCTGAGACTTGGTCCAAGCACCTTTTCTCCAAGAAGCTTTCCTCTGTGTTCTTATTTCTCCTCCCAACAGGTATTTTTACCCCTGATTTGTAGGCGGAAGTAAAGCCCAAGAAACTCAATCAAGGTCACAAACAGGCATAGCTGGGACCAGAAGCCAAGTGGCCCTCTGCCTTCTTCACTAGCTCCCTCCACCCTATTGTGGCCCAGTCCACATAATGCTGTGGCCCGACCAGGGCCCTGCATCTCCTTTCATACACCCAGGAGCTCAGCCAAGGAGCATCCTGTCCTCTGGCCCTCCAGAGCAGCAGCCAGGGAGAAAAACGGCTTAACTTCCTGTCACTTCCCACCCACCCTGCCCTCCACCTCAGCTTAGCTTGGAGGTGGAGCCAACAGTCTCAGTCTCCAGAACTAATCCTCCCCAGCAGCCCCCACTCCCTACCGAAACCCTGTGCTAAGGCAAAGTTGAGAAGTTAAGGCTGAGCAGAACCTCTTGAGAGCTGGCTGAGGTCCTGACTCGGTAAGATCAGATCACTTTATGGACCTGTCCCAAAGTGGCTTCCCTGATCCAAAGCATCAACTCAGGGTGCCTCTGAATAAGAGTGTGAGCACCGGAGAGACTCTCCCAGAAAGGGCTGAGCTGGAGGCGGCTGGAGCTGACAGGGCAGCAGCCACTCAAGCAGGTGAGGCTCAAAAGTTGAGACTGAGCAGGGCCTCAGACAGTTGGTTAATGTCCCGGCAGTATGGCTCCCGCTGCAGGATAAAGTCCACCTTGTGATCCTGACCCCAAAACACCTCCAGCAGCTGGCGTCGGAGCCTCTCTGTTTCCCGGGTCTTCCGAATGCCACCACTACCTTTTTCCTCTTCTCTCCCCTGCTGCTGTTTACCATGTTCTGCAAAGCCCCTGGAAGGATGCTGAGTCTTAGAAGGCCCCTGTGTCCTGGGAAGAAACAGATCAAAAAGTGCTGATGAGCATCCTGGGGGGTGGGAATTAGATCTTAGTAGGCTACCCCTCTCAATTATCTTGCCTGTTCCTGGCTCTGGGGGAGAAGTTCTGAAGTTCCTGAAGTTGACCACTGAGTGGCAGTATCAACCCTCTTCTGAAGGGGTGATGGACTGTACTTTGGGAACCACGGTGAACTCTGCCACTATTATACGATCTAGTTCTGGTCCTAAATGAATTACTTACATAATGGTCAGCAGAAGGCATGCAGAATACAACTGGGTCTCAGTATAAGCAACCATTTTCCAAATAACTCCATAAAACACGCTGATTAAGGGAAACAGGAAGCAGGTGTTTCCCTCCCAGCAAGGAGGTTCTACGTCAGGATTCCTGGGAAGCTTATCATGGCCAAGGCCAAGGTAACTCAAACCACTGCAAAATTAAGCTGGCCAAAACTGAGGTCAGACTTCCACCCAAGCCTCCGGGCCTGCCAAGAGAGGGCCAGGGTGAAGCTGTCTGCAAGGAGTCTAGATTGATTACCTGGCTGGCTTCTTCAGAAATTCATCCAGGGTGGGGCCGTTTCGCCCCAGTGGGTCATCGGGTACCATGAAGAGGTTTCCCACAAAGGTAAAGGGCAGCAGGCTGGACGGTGAAAGAGAATATATGGTCATAGAGGGGGCTCTTGCCCACCTCCCAGACAACTGAAACCAGTATCACCAGAAACTGCTGGCTCCATCCTTCAAGAAAACTTCACCTCCTTCCCAGAGTTTTCACCCTGTGGCCAGAGCAGAACTAGCTTTAGAAAAAGGTCTGCATCTGTGTCCAATTCTCACCGTTCTCTGATGATTGCCATCCAGTTCTCGGACTCCTCTGCCAGATCCCGGAACTGATCATTGGAGACAATTATCCCATCTCTCTCTTCAGCCAGCCTCACCATGAACCTGTCTCCAAAACCACAGCAACTGAGAGAAGGTTGAAAATTTACCTATTGGGTACAATGTTCACTCTTGGGATAACAGTTACATTAAAAGCCCAGACTTCACCACTATGCATGTAGCAAAACTGTACTTGTATGCCCCCAAATATATAAAAATAAAAACAACCACAGCAACCCTTTGGGACACTCCAAGGCCCCAACCTCAAAAGTGTTACTAATTCCCATGAGCAACTTCTGGTGATGGAGCTCTGGCCCCATACCCCACCTTAGCCCAGCTACAGGCAACTGACTAGATACAGGTTTCATGGGCTACAGAAGAAACAGATGAATCCAATCTGCTCACCGCAGTCCTTCGCGCAACACTTTGCGTCTCACTAGTAAACAGTAAGATCTAGCTCTGACACTGTCTTCCACCCTACCCAACCAATCCCTCGCAAATCCAACATGTCCTACCTTTCAAAAGCCTTGTGCTCTGCTCCCTTCCTTCCCAGGCCCACCGTAACTACCCTAGTAATTCAGATATTGCAACTGAGATCACGCATAACCTCCTAACAAGGATTCCCCGCCTCTGACCACTCACCACCCTCCAGCCTCCCCTGCCCTGCCCCAAGAAAGCATGCTTATCCCCTACACAAAACTCTTCCACACTCACCCTTTATTTACCAAATAAAGTCCACACACCCAGGCCTGGCAGCTAAGGCCTTCTAGAGCCCAGATCAAATCACTCTTACAGCCTTATCTCCAAATATTCCCTATTGCAGTCTCAACTCCAGCTAAAATCAATCATCAGGTTACACTCTGCTCTTCAAATATGTCTAATGCTGACTTCCGGGTTTCTCCAACTATTCCCATCTGAAAGGCACTTCCAAAAACTGGCTGAGGAACAGAATCACCAGGGGAACTTTAAAAAACAGATGGGATGGACGCGGTGGCTCACGCCTGTAATCCTAGCACTTTGGGAGGCCAAGGCGGGCAGATCACGAGGTCAAGAGATTAAGACCATCCTGGCCAACATGGTGAAACGCCGTCTCTACTAAAAATACAAAAAAATTAGCCAGGTGTGGTGGTGCATGCCTGTAGTCCCAGCTACTCAGGAGGCTGAGGCAGGAGAATTGCTTGAACCCAGGAGGCAGAGACTGCAGTGAGCCGAGATCGTGCCATTGCACTTCAGCCTGGGTGACAAGACTCTGTCTCAAAAAAAAAAAAAAAATAGATGCGGGCCCCACTTCAGTAATTCTGATTCTACAAGACAAGGTAGGACTCATGAGGTGGTGGGTGGTGTTCTTAACAGATTTAGAAACCAAGAGATCCAGCCCATCCCAC